CTGGGGAGAACGGACCTGAAATGGTGTAGTGGATCCTCTTCGAACAAATTCAGCGCTGGACGTATGGAGGCCCACCTGAACAAGCAGGAGGTATTGGACTAGTGCCTATAGATGTCGAGTTCATCTCTACTTAGCTCAGACTTATGACCCGGCCCGACCGAAGAAAATGTATATCGATGAAATGTTATGGACTGGTACAAAACAGTTGGCAGACCAACAATTTGATTTAATTCTTTGATTACTTTTGTAGCCTTAAAAATAAAAACGAAGCAGATAGTAGTGTTTCGCGCTCTAAACAAAGGCAATAAAAATACTGTTTATTTGGAGTTGTCGAAACCCGCAAGCATGTTCTTATACATTATTCATGTGTCTCCCGTTCCTCAATTCGTGCCTCGCTCGTTCGTTGAATGTTGCAAATGCTCTTGTGCAGTATTGAATCCACCGCGTTTCCTCGTGCTCGGACACCATCTATAAGACATGTCAAGGATTTGGTCATTTCCACCCGTCCCGGTTGCGACGGCATTTCCGAAATTCTGGTAGCTCAGGCCATAATAATATTTATTACGTTCGCAACGTTATTTTTTTGTTTTAAAGAACGCATTCAAGAAATTAATGAGCATCAGCGTAGCATGATGCTCGAGACACGTTGGATGCCAATCTATTTAAAAACAAAATACGTCATACGCTACTAATAAGTGGGTGATCTACAAGTCTTTTATGGTTACATTCTCATCTTTTAAGACTAAACAAGCGCCGCCGAATCGACTATTTTTCACTCGACACGGACTTCAGCACTATATGCATTGTTAGCTACATTTTTTTCTCTAGGGCGGGGCCTTCGGACACGCAAGGTTGTACTGAACCGAATCGGTTCGCTGCCATGAAGATCTACTTCTATGCAATTAGGGCCGGCACGGCAGCTAATGCGATGTTAAAAGTATTAGTGTTTCCTGAGACAGGCAAACAGATTCACAACCGTCGAATATCGCTGTCGATAGAATGCAACTACCAAAGGGTCGGTGAGAGTGGGATGGCGTTTGGCCATGATATCGCCCTCAGAAAAAAAGAACGCTGAATGGCTGGGAAAAAGGCCCCCCGGGATCTGGGTGCTGAGTAGGGTGTCCTTTGGAGCACTTTCCGGAATGCAGGAAGAGTAGAAGACGAGAAGTGTTATCTGAAAGGTAAATCTGAAAGAAAGTTGAAAGTTAGCACGCACCTAGTTAGCTTCTCACTACGCGTAATCTACGAGCCTTGTTTCATACACAGGTGGTGGTGTCATCCGAAGCCGTCCGTCGTCGCATGCGATGGCACCAGTCACGAAATATTCAAGCAAGCTCATCCTCGTGGTCGCCTTGCAACTCAACCCTTCGTTCGGGCTGGCAGTTGAATTGGTCCACCTCCTCGACCTCCAGCAGCTTCTCCGTTGGAGCTGCTGTTGCCACGACCTCGCCACCCACAGTCTTTGGCGAGATGTCGGATATCCAACAGCCTCCCTCGAGTGTTACGCCGTTGGAATAACACGAAGCCGTAGCTGCAGCCGCTCGAATAGCACGCGTTGCAGCGGCTTGATGATGATGTCGGCAAGTTGCTCTTGCGTGGGTCAATACTTTACGACCACGTCACCCTTCGCGATAGCATCACGGATGAAGTGAAACTTGATGTTGATTTGCATGTTTTGCTGCGTGGCCATCTCGCTCTTCATAACCTTGATGGCTGACAGGTTATCCACGAGCAGGCGAGCCGCTTGGTACTGTGTCCACAGTGCAAGCTCAACCATCCGCTGCCTAATCCAGATGAAGTCTTCCACTGCCATTGCAGCCGCCACATACTTTGCCTCCATGGTCGAGAGTGCGACTGAGTTCTGCTTTTTCGAGTGCCACTCGATCGACATGCCATTCAGCATTACTACTACACCGGAGACAGATTTGGCGTCTCGGTTAGCGCCGGTCCAATCGGCATCGGCGAAGATTGTAATCTGGAACGTCGTCGCCGCGTTAGTACCAGACTGAAAGAACAGACCGTAGTCCATGGTGCCGCGCAAGTAGCGCAGGATGCGCTTAACGCCAACCCAATGTCCTTTAAAACGTCGTGCCAGGAAGCGCGCGAAGTAGTTCACAGCCGTCTCAATGTCTTGACGGATCCACAAATAGCGAATTCACAGCCTTGCGCGTGGCACAGCTGCGCTCCATGATAACGTTGTCGTCGTACTGGACCATGGTATCCATGGGAGTTGCCATCGCCTTGCGGTCTGCTATCTCCATGTCGATAAGCAGCTTCTGAATTGAATCACGTTGGTGGAGAATATTCCCGTCAGCGCGACGAGCAAAGCTATTACCCAGCACTTGTCCGCTTCTCCAAGATCCCTGATGTCGAAACGCTGGTTCAACTTGCCCATGACCCAGTCGCTATCCTCGTCACTTTCACCGGTGACGAGAACGCCATCCAAGTACAAACCAAGCAGCGAAAGCTGGCACTCATGACGGCGAAAGTACAGACAGGGATCCCGTTTGTGGATTCCGACCAAATTTGCTGTTTGCCAATACAGTCGTCGAGAGCTCAGCTCTGGACCTTGGGCGCTTAGAGGATTTCGTGTGTACGACATACTTCGCAGCCGCGCTTTGGATATTTGATACCTTCGTTATTGAGCGTTTTGGTGCAATCAAACGGTTTGTAACGTTCATTGTGTCGTGGGTACTCTGCCTGAAAACAATGACACAGCTCGTAGCTGATATGATGTTGGTAGCGTACCGAGAAGGGCGCTTTGTCTTTGCTTTTCTCGCTTCTTTGATCAGAGAGTGGAACATTTCAAAGCCGCGCCAATATCAACCAACGAGGTTAAATCGCCTACACGACGGCATGTTACATTGCTGTTATTGCTGCACTCTTCGCACTGGTGCGAGCCTGGGTTAGCTGGGGCCAATATGGAGTAGCCATGCTAAGGATGCAAAACCGTTCCGGTCACCAGTTTGTGAGACCGGTCTTCGGTGTCTGATGTCTGTTGAAGTAAGAAAATCATTATTAAAAGACATTCCATAAGTCGTGTACCAATCAGGCAACGGTAGTCAAGCTTAAATGTCGCCAGGGTAGGTCTATCGCGCAATCCAAGGGCTGGACCGCGATCCGAGAATGTACCGCACACACTCATTGAGAGCAAGAGGCGCGACGCTATTGTATCGGCAGGCGTTAACACAGTAAAAAATCCAATTCCGCGGAAGCGTGGCCTCCGACACATTTAGGCATTACGCTCTGCTCTGTAGAGAATGCTTGACATCCTGGTCTCGAAATTCGTCAGTGGCTCCAATTTCATGAAAATTATCCACCGATATTCTACAACATAGCCTTATTTTAAAAGGCCGTCATTGTATTCTTATTCGGACAACGTTAAAGGGTCTAGTTAACGGTCATCGCTGAAGTTTAAACATGAAGCTAGTTTGCTCCTATCACGGCGGCTAGCCAAAGGAAATATGTGTTCTATCATTCCCATTTTTAATGGTATGCACGAGTCCGAATTGCGGTTTTACCGGGATAACCAGGAAGTTCAAATAATGCTAATTTGTTGAAACCGGTAACTGTGGTAAGTAACCATACTATGAAGAATTCGATATCGGGAAATTTTTTATCATTATTATTTTGTAAGAACTAGAAGAAAAAAACTAAGAATTGAAACCCGATAATCATGGTCATTCCTCAAAGATCTCACCCTAATTGTAGATGTGCGCTGTTTAGCTCTCACTCGTTTTGTCCACTACTAGTACTCATCAGACAACTCCGACGACGCATTGTGAAAACAATGATTGTACTTGGCGGATTAAGGTAACGTCGCCGTAGTGGCGATGCAAGAAAGGGACTCCAGAGATCGAAGGTCCAGTAGATGGCAATCAGCGTTCGTCGACAAATGAGGCTGCGTCAAACAAAATGACACGATGAACCTAAGTACGAATCGCGATTTAAGCACTCTAAATGAAAGCGGGGCGTCTCCTCTATCTTTTGAGCCGTTATAAGCTACAGAATGCTTAAAACTGAAGAAGTTGTGGTCGCTAAAAAATATTATCTCCATTTATGGGCTCTCGAAATGACGATACATTTAGGAGTGTTTTAAGCTCAATATTTTTTTTAATTTTAAAATTAAAAAAAAATCAAGTGTTATTTAAAAGCCCTTGTCAAAAGTAATGGAAAAATGGTAGTTTTACAGTTTTTTTTCGATGGAAGTTTACAATAAATGTCACTGTTTCGGTTAAGTGCGAAAATCAATCGGCCAACTTTAAGCTCGATTATCTCGATAACTCTAAATAATTCATCAGTATCATTTTGTTTGATATTATATTGAATATCATATCAGCAAGTTTATAGTAATAATGTTGTGGTGATATCGGAGCCCTAGCTACAGCTAGCGTTATTAAGTTTAAGATGGTGCTAAAGTAAAGGATATGCGCGGTTTTGGCACCGATAATCTATCCAGTCATACTTTTGAAGGATTTCAGGAACAAATCCCAATTTTGGACATCACTATAAATGGCTTCGCTGCTTTCTATATTAGTAGAAGTTGCTCCTACCACCACGGATTTATGTCTAGTGAATAGAGCCATGGATTTACAGTTTTTTTTAGTGCGATCCATTCGATACGATTTATAATTGACTTTGGGCTGCGATCTGATTCTCACTGCTGTATAATATATTTAATTATTTTTAGAAGAAATGGTAATTTATACCCGGCAATATCGCACCCCGTTCAAGTGCACAGTACACAGATAAGTAGTTTGTAGTATGAGATTGGTTGGTTGTGCGGCTAATGGTTTTGTAGCAACATTGCTACAGACAAAAAAATAATTATTTACTACTACTGGACTAATGCCTGCCGGAGAAACGAGAAACGAATGGTATGAAGCAACAACGTACGTAATATTATTTCCAGCAACGTGTCATCCTGAGTGACTGACGCTCACACTGAAATTCTTCTTTTTGCCAATTATTGGAACCCAATGGGCGACACAAGCTTAAAGCTAGTGCTTAAAGTACGCAGCGATAAAGTGCTTGATCGCCGATTCACTAACACCTTGCCTTCTCATGTAGTCTGCGGCTTCTTCTAGTGGCTGCACCGCCTGCTTCCAGGAAGTGAAAATCATTCTCAAGTGTTCCGGGTCAGTTGCCATCCTGTGAAATTGACTGTTCGCTAATTTATTCAAAGCCTTTATCTCGCTTGAGTCAAAACCGAGTACACGTTCTTCTTCTGCCGCGTCGCCATTGACAACCGTCTTGGAAGATCGCAGCGACCTCGTTTCAGCGTTGTTATTAATGGACACCATGCTACCAGAAGCAAGGAACGCAGTCGACGCTGTAAACAACAGAAAATAGGTGAGACGCACTCTTGGACTTGGATTTGGCGAGTGGAACGACTTGCGGGCTTGTGGGTAAGTTGGAAACTGAGTGTGACAGCCCGCTAATAGCGGGGATGTCGTGCTCAGTGGGTCTGGCCTACCGGTAATATAAAATTTCATTTAAAATAGATGATCCAACCCGCGACACACTACTGTACCACTCTCGTCCGATGCAGGATTCGCCAATGGCTGACCGCACCACTGCTTGTACCGATTATTGCGCAACTTATCCCCAGACATCGTTTTAGTATTTACATGTTTTATGTAGACTACTGTGCCCTGTCCGGTTATCACACTATCGATATCGTCTCATAAGATACATGTATTAAACATTTTGGCACGATTGATATTCGTTCGATTCTTATTATTATGGTGTGTTCTAAGATATCGTTTTACTGAGGCACACGTAGACACACGAGAAAAGTGTCGAGCCATTAACCGGGAAATACATAATTTCAATAATGCTATCTACAAAACACCTTATACACTCGGCATTGATCGGTTCAACGGTGATAACCGACCTCAATTTCACATACCGGGCCAAGGTAAAAATCAACAGTGGTAGATGATTTCACAGACGACGCGAGGTCATTGCACTAGCTGTAAATACGTGGGACAGCATATTGTCTCTTGGGAAACATATATTAAAGCTACATCAACGATGTCTTAAAATGCTATAGCTCACATATTTAAGGTCAAAATCGATCGACAGCAGCCAAATCAAGTTGATGATACCTGCAAAACCCTATGGTTTTATCATCCAATCATCTCTTCATACAATTAGTTGTGGAGAGACAATTATCGTCCACTCTAAGCTGACACAACAGCACTCCCCAGAAAGAGTAGAAGGCATAATTCCTGTACACTGTTGTACAGATTTTATTGAGAAAAACACGAACTCACTCAATTTGGCCGAGCAATCGTGAGCTGGTACAGTATTCGATCAGGCCCTGAGTGTGGCGGATTTCACCGTCGTTGTCTGTACAGTACACTATGTACATGTACTGAGATAGTACTAAGACTCTAATCGAGTTTTGGCGGTCGCACGGAAAACTGTGCTTCAAATCTCGTCAAATGTCGCCAAATGCGAAAGTAAGTGAAGCTCTCTCGCAGTCGCCATGGGGTTCATCTGGCGGCACGCCTGATGACGTCGGCCCTTTCTACGGATTATGACATATCTAAAAGGGCTACCAGGAGTATAGTAACCTGGGACGCAGCCACTCAGATTCGTGTCCATATCTGCAAATAAAAAATGTGACAAAAAAGAATTATTTCATTATCATCAAATAGAGGTAACTAGAAAGTATTTTTTGATACCGATAGTAAAAGTCATCCTTGTTAAGTGTAAGTAAATATGCCCCACGCCGCAGCCTGTACACTTGAATAGCAAATGCAATCGTGCAATCGTGGTTTAAAGGCTATCATTACCACGACGACAGCTACTGTATGCCGTCATGTTGCTTATATCACGGTCGGGACATCGGAGTGGCCACTGATCGGCGAGCTTCAACCAAGGTATTTTGATATCAAGCTTACTAGACCTCAGAAGTACTTCGATCTGATATATGGGAGTAGGGGTTAAAATTTATGATACTAAGCACCTACAAATTCGAGTTTTGTTGCTCTTCCGAGTTTGTACGTGTGTCCTGCGACTTGTACGCGATATTTGACAGCGGGCTAGGTATGTTGAGTACAATGCTACATATGTAGTCCTATCCCGTTAAGAATTTTCTTTCATTTCGATGGACGACCTGGGACATCTGGAATGTACCCACCCTGATAAGAGGCTTTTATTAAGGCCGATGCTACAGTCCATGCGTCGACTCAGTTTATTTTCCATGTAATACTCCATGTAATGTCCATGTGTCGAAATAAATTACTTACCACTGTTTTTAAAATCCATAGTGAATGGAAGTTGTTAGACCTTCGCAAACGAAAGTCCTCTGACATCTCTCGTACATACCGGTATACAGAAGTCAGGAGGTCAACCATACGCATGAACATTAGGCGGGTCGATTCCAGTTTCAATAGAACCCGAGCGCCGTCCTATTGAGAAAAAACAAACAACAAACAGGGTTGCGCGAAAGTTCTCGCCGCTCTTATTAACCCCTTAGTTCCCGTATGTTTAGCCGCTAAACATAAGAGGTGTATAGCTTCTTTCAGTTTTTTTCGGCATCTATGTTATGTTTAGCGGCTAAACATAAGAGAAAAACTGACTTGGGGGTTGTATTGAACAGATCTCAAGAGAGCGCAGGAAAGCTCAATACTGAAGTCAAGACAAAAGTGGGAGCCTAAAACGGCCGGATGCACAGGCTTAGGGTAGCTGGACCGGATTCCTGATAGAACGAGATAAAGAGAGGCGGTGTCACCCACCACCAACGGGTGGCCGACAGCCACAAAACTCTCTCATTCTTCAAAACGACCGCGGGGGCAGCAGACCAGAATGGTGGCGACGTCTGGCAAGATGCCACGACGGACGCTGACAGCGGAAGAGACCCGGTTGTGCAAGGCAGCCCTCAGTGACCGCCACAAGCGTCGCCTTCGTCGAGACGACGAGAGGCAGTCAGCAGCAGAGCCAAAGCATGGCGCTGAGGGGCGTGCGTTGAAGAAGCAGTCTAGGAAGAGGGCGATGAAACTTACGACGACAGCCATGGAGATAGCAGAGTCTAGAGGTCCACATATTGAGCCGGCAGCACCCAAAGAGACAGAAGCAACAGCGAGTACGGACGAAGCTAAAGAGGTAATACCTGTTGCAGAAAATGAGGAAGATTCTGTGGAACCAGAGGTGGAGGAAGTTGTAGCAGACGTGGTGATGGCTGTGGCTTCAGCTGTGGCTTCAAGTGCGCTTCTAACGCCTGTGCGAGATGCTGAAGGCGCTGTGGAGACCTTGCGCCCCCCTCGGACGAACAAGCAGGCGCCGGTTACGCAAAGATCCCCGAAACGACGCCGCCGCGTCCTACAAGACAGTCCAGAACGCGAAGCTCAAGCTGAAGGCACCATAAGTGACACCACAGACACCGGTGCTGCGTCAGCTGCCCCGCATCTCCCTGTCGCCTGCGTAGTCGACGGTGATCCTAACATCATGGCGGCTGGTGCACGTGAGTGCACTGGCCTCGGATCAGAAGAGGAATCTGGTCCTGATTCAGACGATGACGACGCGGACAGTGAGTGGGAAGGAGATTGGGAGCTTGGAGAACTCTCTGATGAGGAGTTAGCCGATTGCGTTGGAACTGAGCTACCGGACACGTTCTGCAAGTCGGTGGCGATGAATGCGGCGCGTTTGGCGGAGATGAAACATTCTGGCTGGGAGTATGGTAAGTTATGTTGAACGCTATCCAACATACGCAACTATTATTCCGTCGTTGTCCAACATAATGTTAACATTATCTAACTCACTTTGATGTGCTATTTGTAGACCAGTCCAAATTTGGAGACAATCCTACGTATGAAGACCTTTACGACGGGCCTTATGGACCATCTGAGAGCGTCCTTGGAGTGGCTGAAGACCCACTGGCGCTGTTCTTCTACTACCTACCGCCAAAATTGTGGAGACAGATTGCCGTCGAGAGCAATCGCTACCACACGCAGTCGATACCGGGTCGTGCGCAGGCGATTCAAGCGAAGCAGCGTCGTGGTGGTGGAGAAGTAGAGAACCTCGCAGATATTCGTCGGCGACTAGCACGTGTGAAGCCGATAGAACCGTGGGAGGTTTTGCGCGTCATCGCGCTTCTCATTGCAAGGATGATGTCTCCAGTGCGAAAGGGGATTGCTGCTCACTGGGAGTTGACACCGGCTGGTGCGTTGCCAACGCCACGCTTCGGCAAGTACATGTCCCGCAACCGGTTCTTCCACATAATGGGATACTTGCACTTCTCCAACAACAAGTCGCCTCAAGCTAGCACGGATCGTGTATGGAAGATTCGGCCGGTTATCGAGGTTTTACAGCGTACATTTGCGCGCGGCTACAAGATTCCTCCTGTCATTAGCTTTGACGAAGCTACGCTGCCTTCAAGATCCCGCTACAATCCTACCAGACAGTTCAACAAGGACAAACCGCACAAGTGGGGGACCAAGGTGTTCGTGGCAGCGTGTGCAGATACAGCTTATTGCATGAGGTGCGTTCAAGGTGGCAAGCTAATGCTTGCCACTTTTTTTTTTGGGGTTAGTGCTTATGTTGGACGGGCAAACATCCACATTGTGGAGAATTTCCCAATCCAACATATTTATTACTTTTACTAATATCGTGTGCGTTTGTGCGACTGTTCAGATTCGAGGTGTACTGTGGTGCTAAGAGTAATCTCCGGACTCCGATTCCTGCTGATAATAATTGCGGCGAGGCTGCCGTACTAAGGAACATGAACGCGCTGTGCCCGCCATCACCGACCTCCCCGTGGCGTTTGGTAATCACAGACCGGTTTTACACGTCGGTGAAGCTGGCGTTGGAGCTGTTGCAGCGACGGATGTACATTACGGGTACGATCCAGACGCGTATGGCAGGGTACGCGAAGGATGTGAAGACTGACAAGTCTTACAGAACCGTGAATGGTGTGAGAGAGCTAGTACCACCACAGGGGACAATCAAGCTGGCTGAAAATAAGCTTTTTCCGCAGATAACCGCAGCAATGTGGATGGACCGCAATCCCGTCCACATGCTGAGCAGTGGTGGCAGCAGAGAAACAGTCAGTGTCAGTAAGTAAGCCTGTGTGTTTATATATATGTATCATTGCTCACTATTGTGCTTTTTTATTGTAGTGCGGCGAATCAAAGGCCAGATGAAAGAGCTACCGGCACCGGAGCTGGTTCGTGACTATCACCGATACATGGGAGGTGTTGATGTGCACGACCAGCTCCGGATGCAACGCTACAGCGTGCAGCTTTCGTACAAATCACGAAAGTACTACAAGACCTTGTTTCTCGGATTGCTGGACATGGCGTTGGTGAACGCCTTTATTGTGTATCGACACAACCAGCGTGCCAATGGGCACAAATCCCCGAAGCATTCCGCATTCTTCGAGACACTCATGGAGCAACTACTTGCTGTTGATGAAAACTCTTTCGCTGAGATTGAGGTAAGTTGCTATGATGGGTTTGGCAACATAAATGCATTTACTAATATGTGT